ACTTGGCCACTTTAAGAGGAGTGGACTTCAACCCCCAGAATTCCCCAGCCAGCGATGCTGGCTGGAGAATTCTGGGAGTTGAAGTCCACTCATCTTAAAGTGGCCAAGTTTGGACAACACTGCATTAGATAATTTTAACATAGCAGATTAAATCTATACAATTGTAATTAACATAACGAACAAGCTGCAGGGATTGCACAGCTTCCATGAAAACTCAATGCCATGTGCTTTAAACGGTGGGGTTTTGAAAATTTTCCAGATTCTCACTAAGAACCCTTGTACATCTACAACGGATTCTGGGGCTGTACTTTAAAGCTCTTTCCATTGATAGAGGGGCATTAATAAAGTCTATTGAGCACTAGTAGTTATCTAGCCGGGTTTTATATATGGCAGCTATGTATTATATACAGAAGCTCAGCCCCAGTGGGTAAGCAAGCTGTGATTCCTCTTTTCACTGAGGAACTCCTGATAAATTTCAAGAAACAATATTGTTCCCTAAGCTTAATATAACATTTATTATATTTTTCTAATATAATATTTGAACTTGATGGATTATTAAGCTTAATAAAGATGACATTATACTAGCCAGAAAATAACTATTGCATTAGGAATAAGGAATAATTTACACCAAGGAAGAGAAACATGTATACTATTTAAATTATAATTCACACATTCTATTTTCTTTTTTCTTCTACTGAATTTACATTGGATAGGAAATACATAGTTGTTGTTTTGTCTAAACAGTCACATTCAGTATTGAATCAAATCATGCTATCAAATCATTTTTGACTCCTAGTGACCACATAGATTTTTTCCCATGATGATGTATCCCTAACTTGTTCTTTCAGGTACATTTAGTATTAATGAGGCTAAAACAGTTTTGGTCATCAGAGTTATCTCTTATCATCTCTATGCTAAGCCTTGAATGGAGATACAGTATATACAGTATTCTGTTGGTCCTATTCAACTGAAGTGTAACAAGTGTTACCTAATAACTGGTTCTAGCAATACTGATCAAAAATTCTGAAAGGGCATTTGTCCCAAGCTCAAGTTTTATTTCTTCTCCTAAACTACAGAACATTTTATTTATTTCAGATATTTCTCATACTTACAGCTAACAAACATAGGGGGAAAAGTATATTAACAGAAAAATCAGAGTAAAAATAACACAATGAATACAACTGTTTGCTAAAACATATATCAAATTTAACATGCCTGTTTGGATAAAAAAAAATGTCTTGGGGCCTGGTTAGTTGCAGGAATTTCTTTCCCCAGTTACATCTACCCAGCCCACCAGAGCGGGGAGGCTGGGTATGTTGTGGGTCCCATCACTGAGGGAAGTACACCTGATGGGACCACAAAGAAGGGCCTTTTCCATGGTGACCCTCTGAGATAAGATTGTCCCCCACCCTGATGTTGTTCTGGAAGGCCCTGAAGATGTGGTTTTGCCAGTGAGCCTGGGGATTCCAAGCTGAAAAGGCAATGCCCTTTTGGCAAGAATTTTTACATAACAACAAAAGGCTTTAGTTTAAAAAAATGGGGATGTGGGGGCCAATCAGAAGGGCAGGCTAAAAACAAAATGGAAGTGAAAATTGTAGTTCATTTAAAACTGTAATATATTCTGATCTTCAATTTTACATAAATCTTTCCAATTGTGTTTCTAAAACTAAAGTGCAGAAGTTAAGTATATGTTTCTTTTTAAAAACAGAGATTAAAATGGTGTGTTTTTAACTTAATACGCCATTAAATAATTTAATATCCTTTGCTCAAACAATAATCAAAAACAAAATAAAATGAAAACAGAATATGGTACCTCAGTTCCAATAGTTCCAACTGCCGAGAGTCACTCTGCAGTGAGATGGGCAGTGACAAATTTGGTAAGTAAGTAAGTCAGCAACAATACAACTGAACACAATATTGACTGAGCTGCCACCTATCATATATTTTAATGGCAGTTAATAAAGGAAGTCACTGTTCCTACCACTCCCATTATCACTCAGATAATTTTGGCTAAGAACTGTTTTACATGCAAAAAATGTGGGGCTATTGTTGATCTTCCCTCAAGTCCTGCTATTCTGCCTTATCATGAAAGGTGGTTGTCTCTGGGAGGGATGACTAAAGAAGATCAGGAGTGTATGTCAAGAATATATATATCTAGTAGGGTCACCCAAGGCAAAAAGGTCATCCCAGCTACTCAGCTAAAGCAATCAAACACATATATCAGGCAGCAAAGATATAGGAAGATGCTAGAGACAGATTATCAGTTTAATTATCATCTTGAATGTCTTTAGTATTTATATATAGGGTTTGTTTTATAGTGGATTTTAATGGATTGAGTATTTAATTATTTATGGGGTATT